AATAAAAATTTTGGCATATTTGCCGGGTTTTAAGGGGGAAAACAGCAAAATGTAATACCTTTTTAAAAGGGCAGGTGACGGTCCTTAGCTTTAAAACCCTTTGCCCAAAAAGGGCCTTTACCTCAAGGGGGAAAAATTTTGGGGGAAATAAATTAATTGCGTAAATTCGAAAAACCATTTTGGGAAAGGCATAAAAAGTTTAAAATGAATCAAAAAAACATTTTTAAAAAAGGGCCCATTCCTCCCTTAAAAATTTCACTAACTTTTTTTTCCCTAAGGTTTTTTGAGGGGGTTTAGTCAGGGTTTAATGAATATGTAGTGTGAATATGGATTTCCCCGTAAGGCTTTCAAATAGAGTTTAAACCCCAGGGTTTTGGGGAAATTTAAAGGGCACAGGGAAAATAGGGGGAAAGGAAATTTTTTCCGGGGTTTAGGGGCATGGGTGAAAAATTTAAGGGGGCAGGATTTTGAATAAAGGGAAAAAGAAATCGGGAATGGGGCCATGTCACGGGTTTTTCCACGGGGGTCGGTTTTGGGGCCCCATTGTTGTTCATAATTTACACAAACGGGGCACGATGGGGGAAAAAAATTAGCCCATGTAAGCAAATTTGCTGGGTGGGCACCAAAATAGGCCGTCCAATTCATTCTAATTTAGGACACTGAGCAATCCTGGATGATTTGAATAGCTGATTTCAATGGTTGGAGAAGTGGCAGGTGCGTTTAATATAGACAAATGCCAAAAATTCTAAATTTGAACAGGAAATTAAACATGCCAATTTTAAAATAAATAATGTAGATCTTAATTTCTACTGATTGCAAAAAGGATTTAGGAGTTCTGGTTACCAGTAATCTAAAAAACCCAAAACAAAAGTGCTTAGTGTTCGCAAAAAAAGCTAACAGGGAAAATTTTTGGGTTAAAATAAGAAGTATAAATTTAAAAGAAGTCCTCAGGGTTTTTCTTCAAAATCTATATATCCCTTTGGGGGAGGCCTCATTTAGATTATGCTGCACAGTTCTGGTCACCATATTACAGAATGGATATAAATGCACTGGAAAACATACAGACGAGGATGACAAAGTTGATCCCATGTATCAGAAATCTTTCCTACGAGGATAGACAGAGGGCCCTGAATCTTCACTCTCTAGAAAGGCGTAGAATTAAGGGGGGATATGACTGAGGTGTATAAATGGAAAACAGGAATAAATAAAGGTGATGTAAAGTGTGTGCTGAAAATTTCCAGCCAAGACAGGACTCGCAGCAATGGTTTCAAGTTGGAAAAATTCAGATTCAGGAAGGATATAGGAAAGCACTTGTTTGGTAATAGAGTTGTGGATAAGTGGAACAAACTCCCGAGTACAGTTATAGAGGCTAAAATGTTGTGTAGTTTTAAAAATAGGTTAGATAAATACACGAGTGGGTGCTAGTTGGACCTGACTAACTTGTGCTACTAGGTCTGATGCCGTGCTCCTTCCTTAAGTGGACGTGACCTGACTGGGTGGGTCATTGGGCTAAGCCGGAGGGGAGGTGTGTGTGACATAGACCTGCTTTGCATGGGTCAGTAGGCCTGCTGGAGTTCCTTCTTTCTTATGTTCTTAAACAGCATTTTCTAATATTTCCAAATGTGCACTTACACGTGCAGTTTTTCCAGTTGTTATGTTTGCATTTACTGACTTGTGTTACCATGTGACGTTTTGTTCACTTAAGTTTTCCATGTACGGTTTCTTTTTCCATGATCTCTAGAGCCAATGGTAAGATGTGGCTACTGTATTACTTAGTGCACTAACTAAATTCCTTATGATTCACTAGCACCTCCTTAAAAACTTTACTTTCTAACATGCAGTAAAGTAGAGAACCATTGCATACGTAAATAGGCTGTAGGTAGATTTGAATTTAAGAGAATATTAATGATGATTGTTCAACATTTTTGGTATTACAATTTTTCACTTACATGAATCTATTTGTATTTGAAGCAGTAACATACAATACATTGTGATGCCTGAAAAGAAAGAAAAAGAAAAAGAAAAGAGAGAGAGAAAGAGAGAGAGAGAGAGAGAGGAGAAGAGAGAGAGGAGAGAGAGAGAGAGAGGAGGAGAGAGAGGAGAGAGAGACAGAGAGAGAGAGAGAGAGAGAGAGACAGAGACAGAGGAGAGACAGAGAGAGACAGAGAGAGACAGAGAGAGAAGGACAGAGACAGAGAGAGAGAGAGACAGAGAGAGAGAGACAGAGAGAGAAGAAGAGAGAGAGGAGAGAAGAGAGACAGAGAGGAGAGAGACAGGACAGAGAGACAGAGGAGAGAGCGAGAGAGACAGAGAGACAGAAGAGAGAGCAGAGAGAGAGACGAGAAGAGAGAGAGAGAGAGAAGAGAGACAGAGAGAGAGAGAGAGAGAGACAGAGAGAGAGAGGAAGGACAGAGAGAGACAGAGAGCAGAGAAGAGAGGAGAGAGAGAAGAGACAGAGAGAGAGAGAGAAGAGAGAGAAGGAGAGAGAGAGAAGAGAGAGGACGAGAGAGAGGAGAGAGAGACAGAGAGAGAGACAGAGAAGAGAGAGAGAGAGAAGAGAGAGACAGAGAAGAGACAGAGAGAGAGCAGACAGAGAGAGAGAGGAAGAGAGACGAGAGAGAGCAGAATAGAAGAGAGAGAGAGGAGAGAGGAGAGAGGGAGAGAGGCAGAGAGAGAGAGAGAGAGAGAGAGAGAGAGAGAGAGAGACAGAGATAGAGGAAGAAGAGAGAAGAGAGAGAGATAGAGAGACAGAGAGCAGAGACAGAGAAGAGAGACAGAGAAGAGAGACAGAGAGAGAGAGAAGAGAGACAGAGAAGAGAGACAGACAGAGAGAGAGAGAGAGGACAGAGAGAGAAGAGAGAGAGACAGAGAGAGAGAGAAGGAGAGAAGAGAGAGAGAGAGAGAGAGAGAGAGAGAGACAGAGAGGACAGAGAGAGAGACAGAGAAGAGAAGAGAGAGAGACAGAGAGGAGAGAGAGAGAAGAGAGAGAGAGAGAAGAGGAAGAGAAGAGAGAGAGAGAGACAGAGAGACAGAGAGAGAGACAGAGAGACAGAGAGAGAGACAGAGAGACAGAGACAGAGAGAGAGAGACAGAGAGAGACAGAGAGAGAAGACCAGAGGAGAAGAGAGGGACAGAGAGAGACAGAGAACAGAGAGAGCAAAAGAGAGCAGAGAGAGAGACAGAAGAGAGAGGCAAGAAAGGAGAGAGAGAGAGAGAGAGAGAGAGAGAAGAGAGAGAGAGACGAGAGAGACAGAGACAGAGACAGAGACAGAGACAGAGATAGAGAGACAGAGACAGAGACAGAGATAGAGAGACAGAGAGACAGAGATAGAGAGACAGAGAGACAGAGAGAGACAGAGACAGAGAGAGAGACAGAGACAGAAACAGAGAGAGACAGAGACAGACATTGCTGGCACTTTCGACCTAGTGTGGCACCAGGGCCTCTTAGCAAAACTTCAAGCACTGGGAATTGCAGGCTCTACGCTATGTCTCCTCAGTGACTACCTTCATGGTAGATCTCTAAGTGTAGTTCTCAATAGAACGGAATCAGCAAGACATCCTATTGGGGCAAGTGTTCCACAAGGAAGCGTGCTGGGTCCATTGTTATGGAATGTCTACTTCAACGACCTTCTTCATCTCATCCCAGAATCACATGCATATGCAGACGACTGTACACTGACATTCACTTATCCAAGAGAAGAAATGCCAGCTGCTCTAAGCTACATCAATCACCAGCTGAGAGCTATATCAGCTTGGGGAAATAGATGGCAAGTAACATTTGCACCTGAGAAAACGCAAATGATGATCGTCTCTAGGCACCATTGTAGACAGCCTGTACTGTCAGAGCACACAGCCTAGCCGTCTGCTCTGACTAGTTCATATTTCGCGGCATTTTAGGTGCTGCCCTCTGTAGGCTCACCCACGTCAGTGGGAGGCTGAGCCCACCGGCTCTCTCTCCTAGGCCGACCGACTTGACAGACACAAGTGCTCCCCCTCCACGGACTGGCTTGCGGTCACTCCCTCACACTGCCCGTTGTGTACTCACTCCTATCCAATTAAAGCCAACCTAGTCCACGGCCGTATCATTGCTACCTACGCTACCTTCATCAGCACTAAACCGCTGTTCAGCAGTAAGAACAGCAATAACACCATGATGGTAATGCTGGTGCAGTAGTAAGGATGAATGGGAGGATGTTGGCACCTGGAGAAGAAGTTGATATCCTTGGGGCGAAATTTGACTCCAAACTAACCATGAAGAACCATGTTGTAAATCTTGCAAACAAGGCAGCCAGGAAGCTTACAGCACTTCGCCGTATCTCCCATCTGCTTGACAGTAGGGGTTGCAAGATCCTGTACGAGGCACAAGTACGCTCGCACCTTGAGTATGCTCCACTTTCTTGGTTTGCCTGCCCCCCCCTCTCATCTGCGACTGCTTGACAGAGTAGAGAACAGAGCAAGACGTCTCATCTCTCGCCTGGACCCATCCTGGATAGATCTGTCATTTCAGCAGAGCCTTCAACATAGGAGGGATGTGGGTGGCCTTACTGTTATGTACAAGGCCAATATTGTCAAAATACCACACTTGGATCCACTTCGAGGACAGCGTGAAACAAGCTTTTATGCCACAAGACGGGCAGAAAGCAGCAACTTCACTCTGGCTGTACCCTTCTCCAGAACATCACTCCATCTGAGATCATACATACCCAGGATGACTCGAGTATGGAACACATTCGTACAGGATAATGATGTCAACGAGATAAAGTCAGTTGATCAAATGAAAATGCTGGCCCATTTTCATAAATGCTGGCCCATAACAATAAAAATGCTTTCAAATGAGCTGATGTAGGTAACAGCTCTTAGCTTGCCAATAAAGTTAGGAATCCTTAACCTGTAAATAGCTGTCAATAAAGCTAGGGATCCTTAACATTGTCAAACCCTGTGTAAAAAAGAGAGGAGAGAGAGAGAGAGAGAGAGAGAGAGAATTTTATATAGTTGCTAACCTGAACAACTCTTTGACCCAGGAGAGCTTTCACAAGTTTGGGCTTAAGCTGCGTTGTTGTATCGCCAAGACCTAAGCGTCCATACTCTCCAAGGCCCCAGCAGTACAGCTCCCCACTTGAAGTAATTGCTGCACTGTGGGAACTTCCACAAGCAATGTCTCTGATACGCTTCGACTTCAGCACTTCAATAAGCTTGGGTTTATCATAACTTAAGCGATTTCCATGACCTAGTTTCCCATCTTCTCCTTCGCCCCACGAGAAGACCTAGAAAAATGTGAAAAAATTTAAAATATATAAGTTAAGTAAGTTTATTTGGTACATAAAAAACGTTACATAGATTTCATACTAGCAGATATTGTAAAACCTAGGTTCCCCCAAAAGAGTCAGAAAAAAAGACTTTTTTCCCTTTGGGAGAGCAAGGGTAGAAACCCAAATTTCTCCTTTTAAAAATTTAAATAATTTAAAAAAAAAGTTTTCATTTTTTTTTTTTAGATCCCCTTTCCCTCGGTGGGTATGGTTGCTGCTTTAAAAAAAAAAAAATTTTAAAAAAATTAAAACTAAATTAGAAACCCAAAATAAAAATAAAAAAAAAAAAAAAAAAAAAAAAATTGGGGAAAAGGTTTTAAGTCATGGTTAGAATTTAAACATACACCGTGGAATCACCCCAAAAATCATCCCAGGGGTACACTTTAGTACTGTACCTGTTTATAACAGGGGAAAGATTTGTACATGACAATTTAAGTGGATGATGCAAAACTAATGATAAAAGTGCAAATGTAAAATGACTTCAAAAAACTAGAGGTAGAATTTGGTAAGCTGTAGGAATAGTTAAGGAAATGGCCACTAGAGTTCAATCCAAGTAAACGGCAAGTAATCAAGCTGAGCGCTAGGGAAAGGAAAGCCAAGTGATCAAACAACCCAGGTGAGTAGCATATCTCAGAGATGGTTAAGACAGGGATCTGAAGGTAGACATTATGACCAACCAGTCTTACAAGGCACACAAATATAATAAAAACTGAGAGGTGGTGTTAGGATGTGCATGTGTAACTAGCTAAGAATCCCAGGAATCAGTGCCAAGATCCAAGTACAGTAACTTAATGATCTGCAGATGATACACCTGTTCTATATATTGCATGTCAATGTTCAGAGATGCTGCTAAAATTACGAAGAGAACATAAACAAGGCCAGAAGATCCCAAGAGGACTTGGACAGAGGAAAGCTGAATCAAATAACATTTAGAGTTCAAACACAATGTACCTTCCACATACACTTCCACAAGTATCTGCACATGCACACAAGATTCAATGCCCCTTATAGAAATAAGTGAAAGTATATACGGTAGACTGTTATATCACATGGTTTTATTTGGCACGTTTTGGCTACTGCACTATTGAAAAATTGCGGCACAATTTTATACAACACTTTGTAAAATTAACTTAACACGGTTTGGTTTGCAGGAGGGGGAAAAAAATTGTGATAAGGAAGGAAGGCCTGAAAAAGAGTGTATATTTAGCACAGGCTGGTTCCACAACTTTAAGTTGCATAATAAGTTACATAATATTAAGTTTTCTGGTGAAAGCGCTTCAGCTGATCACACAGCAGCAAGTAATTTCCCTGTTGAATTGCAGAAAATTATTTCTGAGGGTGGCTATGAGCCACAGAAAGTGTGTAATGCTGACGAGACAAGTGTTTTTTGGAAAAAAATGCCAACAAGAACTTACATCAGTCAGCAAGAGAAAAGTGCACCGGGTTTCAAGGCAGCAAAGGACTGCTTCACCTTGCTCCTTTGCGGTAATGCATCAGGTGATCAGAATCCTCATGCTTTGAAAGGTGTAGATAAAAACACCCTACCAGTAATTTGGAGATCAAACCAGTCAGCATGGATGACAGAGGAAATACTTATTGACTGGTTTAACCCTTTGACTGTCACGACCCTAAATCCTAAAGTGTCTCTGTCGCAAAATTTTCGAAAAAAAAAAAAAAACTATTATTCTTTCTTGAGATGACAGAGAATCTTTTTCCAATGTTAATGACACCAAAAGTATTAAATTTGATGGAAAACTTACAGAATTATGCTCTCGCGAAGTTAATGATCTTGGAGATGTTTACGCATCGGCAATTTCGCCCACTCTGAGCTCTATTTTCAGCCAGTTCCATTGTTCCAGTCGACCAAACTCACAGCTATTTCTTTAGAACTTCATTTGTTCTATCGACTGAATACGTGAAACTGCCCATTTACTGATTTCAACTACCCAATAAAGTGGTCAGAAATTGGCAATTTCATGCAAATTAAAAAAGACGCTAATTTCAAAATACGATCCAGAATAAGCAATCCAGTCATTCCTGGCACTAAAATCACATTTTCTCTGTTCATCAGTCACATTTCTAGGCCACTCTTATATTACTCTTGCTTTCTGTTTTGAATTTTTATTCACACAAAAAATAGAAGATTTACTGTTATGTAGACTACTGCATTATTGTAATAATTGTATAAATAATGTCAACTCATTCGTGACTGAATATTAGAATGGCTAGTTGGATACTTATTGGACAATGACATCATTTGTTTACTCTTGAACATCAGCAAAAATCGAACATTTCCGCTACTTTAAGCTTAATTTCAAGATCCTTTTCTTCGTGAAACCAATCAAAATTATCTCTGCTTTTGTAATATATCTTCCATTCTATCAAATGAGACCAAGAAAACGAGAAAACAACCATAAATACTATACAAAAATACACCACAAAGTCAGCATTTTAATCCAAAAACATGGTTGGAGTTTTTTTTCTCATTATGCACTGTGTGTTGCAGGATTTTTTTTATACTGTAGGCTGAAGGTAACTTTAGTAGTGTCTGGGGCAATTTATCTAAGTTGGTTATGAGAAAGGTAGGATAATGGTCTGTGGTGTTGTCTGTAATTATGCCTGATTTTAAAGGGGATATGGTGTTAGTCCAGATGTGGTCCAATAAAGAGATACTAGTCTGGGAGAGTCTTGTAGGTTTTGATATTGTTGGTAGCAACAAGCAGCTGCTCATAGTGTTTGTGAATTTGGTTACTTGTGGTCTTGGTCATATAGTAGATTTATGTTGAAATCTCCTGTTAGTAGCACGTGGTCCTTGTTCATATGTGCATCAGTTATCAGATTCCCTAATTTTTCACTAAAGTGTAAATGTTTGACTGTGGTACTCTGGTCATGTCGACGTACAGGGCAATGAACAGGCAGACACTGCTGCGCGGTCAGCAGTACATGACCTACCAATTTCCTATCAAGGTGTTCCATTTCTGGACTATTTTGCTGCAATAGCTACCCACCTTCGCACCCGTTGGCAACAACGTTGGTCAACTCTGCTCGGTAACAAACTTCATTCTATTAAACCGAGCATAGGTTACTGGCCGTCTTCTTGTCATCAGTGCCGAGGTTGGGAGACCACTCTCTCCCGCCTTCGCATTGGTCACACTCGTCTTACTCATGGGTATCTCATGGAGAGGCACCCTGTTCCTCTCTGTGAGCAGTGTCAAGTTCCAGTATCGATTAGCCACATTCTCTATCAACGAGCACGCAGAATTTACCTCCAATGTCGTCTTTGTTCTACTACTCTCTCTTTACCTTCCCTTCTTGCTGATGGACCCTCCTTTAATCCTGATTCTCTCATTGACTTCTTGACAACGACTGATTTACTCCACAAACTCTGATGATACTTTTCGCACTCCCCTCAGCCCTTTCTAGTTCAGTCTCTTGCTGCCCTTTACCCTTTCACCATCCACTGCCCCGCTGTTATCCGTAACCTATTACTCATCCATCTCCCTTTTGCCACCTGATGCCCTCGCTTCCTTCCTGCCCTGCAGCGCTGTATAGTCCTTGTGGCTTAGCGCTTCTTTTTGATTATAATAATAATAATGTGGTACTCTGTATATGTTTATGACTGTGAGGGGTTTTTGCAGGTCTTTTGATTTAAATTTAGCTATAATATATTCACCATGCTCATCCCTTGTGCAAGAATTGTTGATACATTCAAGTTGATTTGAGTAGTATATAGCTGTTCCACCCCCTTGCTGGTCTGTCCTACAGTTGTGTATGGCTGTTTATCCTGGAATGGCATAGATATCTGTAGTGCCAGGCTTTAGCCAGATTTCTGTGAGTGTGATGAGTGATATAATGGAGTTAAGGGAATTGAGTAATGCTGTGATGTTTGCTTAAGGATCTGACATTGTAATTAAAGATAGTTATGTTATTGTTTGCTCTGAGTAATATCTTAGCTTGGTCTGCTGTATAATAATTACATTTGCTGTTTGATTCGTGTAAGTCATTTAATAAAAGGTTTAAATCTGGATCAGCGTTTGTAATCATGAGAATGAGAGTGACTCTACAACTAGGTTTTTGAATAAAGTATTGTGTTGAACTTAATAATTATGATACTTAACTAATTTATCTTACTAGCTAATGGATTGTTACACTAGTTTTTATGAAAAAAATACAGAGTTACAGTTTACTCTTCATATATCGCCCACTGCATAACTCTTATTAACAAAGCCTGGTAGGAAGCTTCATACAGAACAATGAATTCTGCTTGGAGGAATTTGTGGCCAGAAGCAGTGGCTGAAAGGAACTTTGAGGCCGTCTCTCTAGTGGAGGATATTGTCTCTCTGGGCAGGTCCATGGGTCTGGATGTAAGTGATGGTGATGAATAGTTAGTGGAGGGGCACAGGGAAGAGCTGACCACTGAGGAGCTGCAGGAACTTGAGAAGGAGGAGCACAAGACTAAGAAGGATGCACTCTCTCAGGCTCTGGAGAGGAGACAGAGGAAGCCCCTACTTCATTAGTCAAGGAAATCTTTGCCAAATGGATGGATGTCAAAAAGTTTGCAGAGAAGTACCATCCCAACAAAGCCCCTACAAACCGTAATAGCATTGTCTGGAATGGCCAGACAATGTCACATTTTCGAAACATCCTGAGGAGAAGGCAGAAGCAAAGTTCTTTGGACAGATTTGTAGTAAAAGCAAACCTGGTGAGCTTCAACCAGGTACAAACAGGGAAAAGAGACAGAAAAGAGAAGGGTACTCTCCTTCCAAACAATAACATTTCCTCCTCCTCCCTTCTCAGCACTATCCTAGTAGTGAGGTTAAATTTGCATTTTTTCATCTAATTCTTTTGTATTTATGTATGTATTTTAGTATTAAGCAGTGTTTAAATTACCAATAACAATAGGATTTCTTATAGGTAGTAGGTTGGTAGACAGCAACCGCCCAGGGAGGTACTACCGTCCTGCCGAGTGAGTGTAAAACGAAAGCCTGTAATTGTTTTACATGATGGTAGGATTGCTGGTGTCTTTTGTCTGTCTCATAAACATGCAAGATTTCAGGTATGTCTTGCTACTTCTACTTACACTTAGATCACACTATGCATACATGTACAAGCATATATATACACACACCCCTCTGGGTTTTCTTCTATTTTCTTTTTAGTTCTTGTTCTTGTTTATTTCCTCTTATCTCCATGGGGAAGTGGAACAGAATTCTTCCTCCGTAAGCCATGCGTGTCGTAAGAGGCGACTGAAATGCCGGGAGCAAGGGGCTAGTAACCCCTTCTCCTGTATATATTACTAAATTTGAAAGGAGAAACTTTCATTTTTCCTTTTATGTCACCCCACCTCGGTGGGATTCGGCTGGTACGTTGAAAGAAGAAGAAGAATAGGATTTCTTTTTTCATGGGAACGGATTAATCGTTTTCCCTATATTTCTTATGGGAAAATTGATTTGGTACACATCCTGTTTGGTATAAGTCCAAGGTTCTGGAACGGATTAAGGACTTATACCAAGGTACCACTGAATATGTTTTATACAGATTTTATTAGTTTTATTAGTTTTTGACTTGTGGTACCTGAATGAGTATCTCTTCTTTAAATTATGAACCTCTGGTCAAAATGATTTTATCAGTTAATTATGGAATAATAAATTATTGATTTATCAGTTAAATTTTTTAAAATTATTATAATATGGCCGCAGAATTTGCAATGAAGAAATGACTAAACAAATAAGAAATAAGAATGTATTAACCACACCTTGCCATCTACAGTAAGTGCTATAGCATGTCGGCCACCAGAGTGGACAGCAACTTTCTTCACCACATATTGACTGAGTGCTGTTATTTGTCGTGGAACTGGAATATTGCTGCAGTGTCCAAGTCCCAATCTTCCACCTGTACCCTCTCCACATGCATAAACCTGTGAAAGTCAAATTATTACATATTATGTATACTGTCTCTTTAAAATTTTCTTTCAATATACAGTAGGGCTCTGCTTTACGGCGTTTCACTTAATGGCATTCCGCTAATATGAACATTTCAAATTACAACCAAAACTCACTATACAGCTCCCCCCGACTTTCTAATATGGTCACTGCACCCCACCCGGTTTGTTTACATTCTCTGTTAGCACTGCATCTCTCCATTATGTCTGGAAACTTTCCAAAATTTCAAGTGTTTTAAAGTTATTTCATATTTTATATATACACCTGATAATTATACTTACGTGTACCTGTACCTAAGTAAACTTACACACTGTGCTGGCATGCAGGTACACATTAAAATCATTAAGTGTGTCTTATGTCTTGAGGATGCCATATTAACAATGATAATAATAATACTCAACAATAATCACTCTGAGGCACATTAAATGTCATATATTACATTAATATACACATTTTTATTAATCAATCTATGATATTTTTTCAAAATTATATAATAAACATGCTATGTAACATACAAACATGATAAATGCACACCACAGTAGGATAAATTAACATAAATATGAGATGTGGTAGCCAGGCGACTTGTAGGAGAGACAGCAAGAATTTCGTTTTCTCTAGTCCAACATCAGAGAAAATGTGTACACTATAGTATTATTGGGGGTAATTGTAGAAAATTATTCCTTTCGTATGCCTTCACTCAGAGTGTCATTTCTTCTATAAATGGTGTTACATAAGAATGGGAGTGTTGCTCTTTATTTATTCTACTGTACCATTGTGGAGACAACTTGTATTATGGTATAATACAAACGTGAATGAATCAAAACCAGACACATTTGTCTGTTTGTTTACATACTTCGCATCTCTGTCCTCTCTCATTTACTCATTCTCTCTCGTTTATTCATTTTATCCTCTTTACTCACCTCTTACCTTGATAAATTAGACACATGTGCAACTCTTGGGCATCTTTATTGAGGAAACGTTTCGCCACACAGTGGCTTCATCAGTCCATACGTAGGAGAAACTTGAAGAAACTTCAAGTTTCTCCTACGTATGGACTGATGAAGCCACTGTGTGGTGAAACGTTTCCTCAATAAAGATGCCCAAGAGTTGCACATGTGTCTAATTTATCAACATGTCGGTTCTCTGAACCATTCATCTACAAACCTCTTACCTTACATTAAGACTACAAATATTTTAAGGTAAGTAATGAGTGAACTATATATGCATTTTATCACTCTGGGACGCTTTAAATGTTATAGTATATTATATGTGGGTGGGGTGGCCTGGTCTGGCTAAAATACCTCCCAAACTACTTATCTCATCCTACATTAAGACTACTAATATTTTAAGGTAAGCAATGAGTGTACTAAATGTGTATTTTACTTTTTTATTGTTTTTAATGCCTAGTTCTATGGCTAACTTAACCCTTAAACGGTCCAAACAGATCGACGTTCAAATTCATAGTGCTACAAAAGTAGATCTACTTCTTTTCACATATTTTCAAATATAACAAAAAAAAATGTAGATAAAAGTTTTTTTTTACACGTTTTCAAATGTAAAACAAAAAGAAGATCTACATTTTTTTACATACTTTCAGATGTTGAAAAAACATATATATGTTTGGACCATTTAAGGGTTAATATATATGTTAGTGTAAACTTGTTATCTAGTATATATGCATTTGTGAGTGGAAAAAAAAGGGTGTTCCACTTTATGGCAATTTTCGTTTTATGGTGGTAGCCTGGAACCTAACCTGCCATATAAGTGGGGCCCTACTATACCCTATTTTCCAGCACATAGGGTGCACCCCAATTTTTAGCAGACATATTCTGGGAAAAATAATAAATTGCAGTAATAGCTTTGAAATGATGGTGAGCCAGTGGCTGAATGCTTATGCACACAGCATAGCTGAAAAAGTTGGAACTTTGCATGGCCTATTGTCTGTTCCACTGCCACCAACTACCAAAACAAAAATAGCTATCTTTTGTTTACAGACAGCTACTTTGCAATTATGAACAACTGCTGAAGCTGGTGTGCTTATTATGTACTGGTAATAAGTAAATTATAATTTTTAATAGTTATTAATCACTCCGATCTTGGAAAGTTTTGTAGGTGGGAAGGAGTAGAGTTTAGTTTACCAGCACTGCAACCACTACTTGCCAATAGCCTAAACTCTACCCTTGTTCTTACTCTTGAGCATATAAGGTGCAGGCTGATTTTCCAAGATTTTTGGAGCACATGACATACAGGTCGATTTTCTGAGATTTTTTGGAGGAAAAAAAGTGTGCTTCATATACTGGAAAATACGGTAACATGTACAGTAATACAAAGTACAGTATAATCATATATTACTGAAACAAGACAAATTAATTTGAAAATCCTAGGAACAACAAAGGTACAAAAAGTTACTACTGGTGTGTGTGTATATGTGGCTGCAATGGTTACCTATCACCATTAGTTAAATATATTGGTCATAAACAGGCCTGGTAATATTTGTAAACAAGTTTAATGACAAGTATTTACTACAGTAATAATGTAATATTAAACTTACTATTTTCCACCAAGGTATTAAGACACAAATCCAAAGACACTCTCTAGATGCCTTACCAGAAGGGAAAACACACTGAACCAAAATATCCCCCACTCTACTATATTACCTTGCTCACAATGAAACCTGACATAAAATTCACAACTCACCTGTACTCACTGTGCACTGATGCTCACACATGCCATCCTGGATGGTCAAGCTCTAACAATTAAACCCTCCAACTAGTGTTTCAAGTAAACAAACCATTTCGCAACTGTCATATATCAAAAATATCGTAGATTGTGTGTTAATTCACAGGGTATTGCAAAGTACGTATGTACGCACGTGAGAGAGAGAGAGAAGAGAGAGAGAGAGAGAGAGAGAGAGAGAAGAAGAAGAAGAGACAGAGAGAGAGACGAGAGAGAGAGAGACAGAGAGAGACAGAGAGAGACAGAGAGAGACAGAGAGAGAGAGAGAGACAGAGAGAGACAGAGAGACAGAGACAGAGAGAGACAGAGACAGAGACAGAGAGAGAGACAGAGAGAGAGGACAGAGAGAGGGGGACAGAGAGAGAGGGACAGAGAGAGAGGGACAGAGAGAGAGGGACAGAGAGAGAGGGACAGAGAGAGAGGGACAGAGAGAGAGGGACAGAGAGAGAGGGACAGAGAGAGAGGGGACAGAGAGAGGGGGGACAGAGAGAGGGGGGGACAGAGAGAAGCAAGGACAGAGAGAGAGAGAGCAGGGACAGAGAGAGAGAGCAGGGACAGGGAGAGAGAGGGGGACAGAGAGAGAGAGGGGACAGAGAGAGAGAAGAGAGGGACAGAGAGAGAGGGACAGAGAGAGAGGGACAGAGAGAGAGGGACAGAGAGAGGGGGGACAGAGAGAGGGGGGACAGAGAGAGCAGGGACAGAGAGAGAGAGCAGGGACAGAGAGAGAGAGGGGGACAGAGAGAGAGGGAGGGGGACAGAGAGGGGGACAGAGAGAGGGGGGACAGAGAGAGAGGGGGGACAGAGAGAGAGAGGGGGACAGAGAGAGAGAGGGGGACAGAGAGAGGGGGACAGAGAGAGAGACAGAGATAGGGACAGAGAGGAGGGACAGAGAGGGAGGGACAGAGAGAGAGGGACAGAGAGAGAGGGACAGAGAGAGAGGGACAGAGAGAGAGGACAGAGAGAGGGGGGACAGAGAGAGGGGGGACAGAGAGAGGGGGGACAGAGAGAGAGAGAGCAGGGACAGAGAGAGAGAGAGAGCAGGACAGAGAGAGAGGGAGAGGGGACAGAGAGAGAGAGGGGGGACAGAGAGAGAGGGGGACAGAGAGAGAGGGGGGACAGAGAGAGGGGGGACAGAGAGAGAGGGGGGACAGAGAAGAGAGGGGGACAGAGAGAGGGGGACAGAGAGAGAGAGGGGGGACAGAGAGAGAGAGAGAGAGAGAGAGAGAGAGAGAGAGAGACAGACAGACAGACAGACACCTTGTTTATCCTAATTATAGCCTTGATTCTCTCTGGATGTGTGTGTATTTTAAAAAGAAAATTAAATTTACATTAAAGAAATACAAGAAAAGGAATATCTCACCTTGCCCTCCTGTGAAACAATAAAAAGGGACTTGGATCCACCTGCAACACTGACTGGGCGAAGACTGCTTAGGGTTTCAGAGAGTACTGGCATTTTGACTTTTGATCCCTTCAGTCCTCCTAACTGATCCTTGTCATTGAGACCCCAAACCAGAACCTTTGGTTCCCCATCAAAGCTCATAACTGAGGTGAGACTCTTTCGAGACATATCAGTAATATCCTCCTGATAAAATATAAAATTAATATTAAGTGTATGATATATAATATAAATGAATAAGTATATAAAGACACAATATGAAGATTCAAATGTTAGACTCGTACTAAGGACAAATCATAATTTGACACAATATTATAGTTACTCTGTTGAATTTAGTAACAGGTAATAAAATACACTATATACAGAATCTTTTCCACAATATTTGGATGAACACAAACAGAGAATTGTTCACCTCCACATCTTCATTGTCAGAGGCAAGGAATGAGACCGAGGAAGCAGGGTCACCAAAATCATCCACTATTTTCCCCATCATTGCTAGACCATGAACACGGCAGTCTATACCACCACTTTTACACTGCTTGATGCTGATTTCTATATATTTGACATACTGAAAGATAAAACTTTATTTTTAATCCTAAAAAGTACCTTAAAAAACTGCTAAACCCTTTTCTATACCCCAATAAAATACAAGCAATTTTTATTAAACAAACATATTATTTCCAAATAAAACTTATTTTTTTTAAAAAATAATAGAATTTTTGCCCAAATTACATTTAACCCACAAAAAAAATTTTTCCCTTTTTGCCCCTGAATTTTTCCCAAACCCAAAGCACATTGACCAAAAGAAGACAACACTTTAAAATGTCTTTGTTTATAATTATCATCTCATTTTTTATTTACTGTGAATTTCCTTTTTAGGGGGGAAAAGAACAATGGGTGCACTTAAAAAAGGGGCGAGATGTTGCAGTTTGGGGGAGGGCCTTTCTAAAACTATGATTTCAGCGGGGTTCTGGAAAAAACAGTCACTAAATTGAAAGGGGCAGTAAATGTGTTTCAGTTTTTGGGGGCATTTTCTCCTCAGTGGGGAAAAGGGAAAAGCGTGTTAAAAAAAAAGGGGAAGCCCAAAATCCCGGGTGGGTGATTCACTTAAAGGAAGGGCCCGAGGGGGCTAACTCCATCTGACAATCAGGGAGGCAGACTACCCACAGGAAAAACTGTACTCAACAAAATTTTTAAAACCCTTTCAGGGTATCAGATTTTACAAGTACGGCTAAGCGCCGGGGTTATTGATTTTATAGTAAGCTTTAATTTTGCATTTTTAAAAATTGAGCGGGAGAGAGTGATAACCCTTTAACATTTGACAAAAGGGGTTTCTATGTGGAAAGTGTGTGAAAAAGGGAAAAAAAAATCTATGCCCCCGCATTGATTGTAAAAAGTGGAAATTTCCAGTGCCCCTTTGAAACTAACCCAAAAGAAAAGGAATACCTCCTCCCCGGGCGGGTCTGAGTGGTGGAAAATGGGCATTTAAAGGGGGGGAGGAGGCAGTGGGGGTGTGGGGGGAGGGAGCGGGGTTTCCTGGCTGGTGGTTTGGTTTAAAACGGGGGCCCGAGGGGTGGTTGGCTAACGGCGGTCTTTTAGGTGTGGGGTTTTTGTTTAGGCACATGTTGATTAAACCCCTAAGATGAAAAATTTTTAATATATATATATTTTTTTTTTTTTTTTTTTTATTATCAAACCGGCCGTTTTCCCAAAAAGGGCCGGGGGGGCCGAAAAAAAAAAACTTTCCCCATCTTCACCCCACCCACGGTCTTCCCGAAGGGTCCCTTTACATTTCTTTTTTTTAAACTGAAAACTTTAAAACACCCCTCCTTCAGAGTGCGGGGCCACTGTATTCCCATTCCAAAAATTTCAAGCCCGGCCTGGGGTTTTCCCCTTGAATCCCTTCTTAAATTTTAAATTTGTCACACCCAACACCCACGAAAAGTTTTAAAAACCCTTTTGTTTTCCTTTTCACTCTATCAAACCGTCACACATGCCTGCGGGAAAAGTCCAACCCCCCTCGCCCCCAAAACCTCTTTACCCCTCCCCAAACCCCTTTCCCTAGGCCGCCCCCCTACCCCCCCTTCCTTCCCCACACAGACGGGAAAAAATCTTAAAAGTCATTTTTTTCGCCCCATTCTCTCTACATGTCCAAAAACCCCCTCAACAACCCTTCTCAGCCCTTGGACATACGTTTTGGAAATCCCGAAACCTCTCCTAATTTAAAAAAACAAAGGAAATTCTCTGCATTAAAATTCACACCCCATTGCCCTAAAGACATGACATCTCCCTGCCTCCAGCCTTCTCCTCGCTGAAACCCATTCATCACCCACCTTCACCCCCTTTAAAAGAGGTTGGTAAAACTATACTCTCATACTTTCCCCCCTCTTTGCCTCCAAGGACAAGTTCTTTTTTCCACAGACTCCAAAGTGCCCCACTCACTTTTTTTTCCCTCATAAATTTTCTTGATTCACCTATTTCATAGCCCATGCTGACAGGGTTCCACTCCCCAAATATCGGAATTTTTCACCTCCCCATACTCTCTCCCCCCAAATCGGTTTTCAATCTTTCTTCCCCTAATCTTTTTGTTTCCTCAAAAATTTACTCTTTCCTGTATTAAATTTTTAATTTTTTTTTTTTGCACCCCCCTCCAAATTCACCCCCCACCAATCTCTGAAAACTTCTCTTCAGAATCTCCCCAAGAGCACTGTCATCAGCAAAGAGCAGCTGTGAAAATCCCACTTTGTGTGTGTTTTTTTAATTTTTTAAACTCCAGCCTTTGCCAAAAAACCCTCGCATTTTTTCTTTTAAAACCCCCTTTCCTTAAAAAAAAATATATTAAAAAACCCACGGTAAAATTCACACATCCTTGTCTGGGGCCTATTTTTAGGGGAAAAAAAATTTCCCCTTCTTTCTACATATTTCTAACTTGAGCCTCACTATCCTCGAAAAAACTCTTCATGTTTTCAGTAACCTACCTCCTCCCACCATACACTTGCAAATCTCCCCACATTCCCCCCCCTTCCACCCTGTTTACCCCTTTCCAAATCCATAAATGCCCAAAGACCTCTTTACCCTTATTAAAACTGTTCATTTAAATATGTTTCACTTTTAAAAAAACCTGGTCCCACACCCCCTCCCTTTTCCTAAGCCTTTTGTTCATCGGGCTTTTTCCTATTCTCCGTTTTACTCTTAATTTTTTTCCCAATTTTTAATTTTTCCCATACACTTTACCAGGTAAAACTCAACAAAATTTTTCCCCAAAAAAATTTTTTGCACTCTTTTTTTCCCCCTTTGCCTTTTTTAAAAAAGGAAACTTTGCATGCTTTTGCCAATCCCTTGGTACCTTACCCCTCTTCCTTTACATTTTTAAAAATTGCCCAACCACCCCAAAAAAAACTATTTTCCCCACCTGTTTTTTTAAAATTTCTATCTTTATCCCATAAACCCCGGCTGCCTTCCCCCCTTTTCATTTTACCTACTCCCTCACGAACTTCCCCAATCAAAAACGGGCTTTTCCTAAATCCTAAAAGGATGTTATTCCTCCTTGCCCTATACACGAAATCACAGCTTCCCTACCCTTCCAACTTTTAAACCCAATTCCTCAAAAATTTTCCCTTCCATTTTCCCCAATTTCCCTTAAAACTCCCCATTTAATAATTTCCCCTCCCCTTTTTTTTAAGGGAAAAAATAAAATTTGTTCTCTGGCTTTTTTAACTTTTTAAATCTACCCCAAAAAATTTTTTCTTTTTTTCTACAAAATTTGTTGATAACATCCCCACCCACTCTTTCATTTGCTTTTTTTTTTTACATTGCTTACCACTCTTTAACCCCTCTCTCTTTTTCCCCATATACTCTTCCCCCCTTGGGGCATCCTTTTACTTTTTTAAAAACTTCTCAATGCTAATTTTTCTTTCCCTTACTACTCTTCTAACATCTTTCCCCCAAATTTTGTTTCCTCTTCCCTCCCGCACCCATTTTCCTGAAACCCACAAATTTTCTGCTGAACCTCTAACACTACATTTTTAAAAACCTCCCCCTTACCTCTTCGCCCCTTTGGGGCCTACTCTAAATTACCCCCATCTACCCTCCAAAGCTGTTTATTTTTACCCTAACTCCCCTTCCTCTTTTAGTTTAAAAACCTTCACCCTCTCTTTCCCTGTTTGTTTCTTTCTCCTTGTACCCCATCTACCTTTTACTTCAGTGTAGCTAAAAACTAAAAAGGTGATCTGATATATCTGGGGCCCCCTCTATAAATGTAATCCTGAAGTCTACTCAAAGTCTTTTTTTTTAAAACCAATACATAATCCAAAAAAACTACTGTCATTTCGCCCTACAAAATATGTGTATACTTATTTTTTCCTCTTTTTCTTAAAATATGTTTTTCCCTATAACAAAAACCCTTTTATACAAAGTTCAATAAATGGGCTCCCATTTTTCATTTACCCCTGGCACCCCAAACTTCCTCCACACCCTCTCAAAAATTTTCTCCTATTTTTAGCTTTCAAGTCCCCTACCACAATTACCTCTCACTCGGTTAAAAGGCCCCTTAAAACATTCACTTAACTTTCCCCCAAAATTCTCTCTCTCCTTGCATTCCTCTTTTCCCCAGGTGCATACCGCTTATTAGGGACCCACTTCTGCACCCAACCTTTCTTTAACCCCACATAATTTTTTTGAATTTACACTTTCAATTCCTTTTCTCCTTCCATAACTGTTTCATTTAAAATTATCCCCCCCCCTTTCCCTTTTGGGCTTAACTCTTTTGGATACTCCAGTTTTTAATCCATTGTTTTCCCCCCACTGAAACTTTCTCCCCCCCTTCACCCTTTTTTTCCCGCGGGGGCCCGGGGACATAAAATTTTTTTCATTCATAAACCCAGCAATTTTCTTTTTCCCTTGGGTCATCCGCACTAAATCCACGCCTTTAAAAAGACCCCATTTTTTATAAAGTTTTTTTTCTTTGTTTTTTAGTGTCAAAGGGAAAAAGGGGTTATTTACCCCATTGCTCCCGGCATTTTTTTTCCCTCATAGGGAAGCATGGCTTAGGGGAAAAAATTTTTTTCCCAAACCCCCCCATGGACAATAGAGAAATAAAAAAGAAAAAAGAAACTATTTAGAAAAAGGGAAAACCTAGTTGTATTATAATATGCATGTGCGTGTCTGTGAAGTGTGAGGAAAATGTTAGTAGGAGTTTGCAAGATTTTCCTGTTATTTTAGCGTTTTTATGAGCGAAAAAGAAAAAACCCGCAATCCTACCATCTGCAAAACATTACAGGTTTCCCGTTTTTACACATCTGCAGGCGGTAGTACTTCCTGGGTGGTTGTGTTACCAAAATACTATATTTTATATATTATATATATATATCTATATATTTTTTATCTAATATTTTTATTATATATATTTTTTATTTATATATATAATATATATATATATTTATACTATATATTATTTTATCTATATATCTATTTATCTATATATCTATATCTATATCTATATATCTTAAATATATATATTATTATATATATCTATATATATATAATTTATTTTATATATATCTATTTATT